ACGCATCTTTATAATTAGGTCATCCGGATCTCATCTCATATAGATATTAGATGGAATGAGTTGTTTAGAGGTGTTCATTAGTCAGTTTAATCTTTTAAATCGATCCAACTAGGTTTTTTTTATTAATCATTCGATTAATTTTATGTTCGATCGGTTATGGTTAATGTTTTTCTCAAAATTCGATTATCGGTTAATTCGGTTCAAAATCGATTAATTAATTAAAATTTTAAATATCTAATATATTTATATATTACTTGGCTTGGCTTTAGAGTGCTTAAATTTCAATTTTAATCAAATTAACCGACCCAATTAATCAAATAAACTAAAAATATTAATTATTTAATATATAATATATATTATTTAAAATTTCGATTAATTTAGTTCACCGACTAAATTAATCAAAATTTATTCCGTTCAATTAAAAAAAATTGATTCAGTTAATAGTTGAAGGTAAAAAAAAATTGGTTAATGATTTTGACTAATTCAGTTCAATCGTTAACCGATTAGTATGTCATAGATAAGCACAGCTTCTCGTATATTGATTCAAATCGCCAGTTAACAGTTCCCAAAAACAGCAAAACTTTGTCATTAAACACTGAATAAACGAAATGACGTTGATCTAATCCCCATAGAAAAGAAACCTCGGTCATTAAAAAAAATATCTACATTAACATATATATATGTGTGTTATACATAGGATAATGCAATCACCACGGTTAACTTTTCTTACTTATTCCTCCAACCCAAGCCAGCGTACACATGCTGGTATCTTTTCCACAACTGTGTCCTCAATAGTACGCCTTCGAGGATTGTTCTGCACGAAAAATACAGTCATGTTTAGATCAATTCAAGGCCAAATATTAGTATCTACTTGAGAGTTGCACCCTTGCTCGTAAAGGAACACATTAAATACCAGGGGATTTGGCCTGTATCGATAGCCAAGCATCATTCGCTTCTTGTATTGCTCATATATATCATCCTCTGGGTTCACTTCTCCAGGATTATGAGCGCCGACCCCCAAATTGTTCATCTTCACATCACCAGCCATGATTGGATCTGAAATACCATTCCTGGAACTCCCTAAACCATCACCTGCAAACCATGAAGCCAAGGTACTATACTTCTCGCTTTAGAGAGAAAAATGGATGAACCGCATACTACTGATGCTACTAGGATTCATCAAAACATTCAAGAAAAACAATCAGAATGGCATAAGAGCACATGATATATAAAAGAAATCAAGCATGCTTCAGTGAACCATGGAAAAATGTCGTCACTTCCATTAAGCTCACAGCAAGTATAAAAGTAATCTAAAAAACTGGTCAGGTTCACAAACAGTTTTAAGTTTGATGCAATATTAATAGTTCAACAATACTCCAGGGAAAAAAGCCAGCAGCATTTACATCATCACTTGATTGCAAGATACAGAAAAGAATAATTGCAACGAACATTTAAACCCTTCTTCTAGATGATTTATCTAAACTCTCAGTTCTCCTGATTCCTTTTGGCCCAGGATTCAATATCGAGCTTCAAACACTCGGTTAAGACAGGTCAGGCCAAAGATGTGCAAGCATACAAAATTAAAAGAGAGGATAAAACACCTTCTTTCCAACCCATTTTTGACAAAAGTTTATGCCCAACATTATCAGACTGGATCTTTGCTTTCTGCGCAGTTTCCTTTGCAGCTTTTTGTGCAGCAGCATCATTGCAGGCAGCCATGAACTTTTCAAGTTCTTCCTGTGGGATATAATCACCCATATGATGACCTTTCTTTTCAGAAGCACCTAAGCAAACGGAAAGAAGGAAATGTTTTAGCAGCAAGGGAAAGAAAACAATATGTCGATGTGAACGCACAAACACCCATTTCAGTTGGAACAAAGACTCACCTTGAAGGGAAGGAGGTGGTGGCATCTCATCTTTGGATGCTTAGGCATTCTACTCTTCTCTTCCTGAGCAGCTTTCTTCATGTAAAACTCCATCATTGTAATAGGATCAGAACCTGCTGGTGCACTGGATGAGCCTGCACCTTAGAAAAGAATGTGTAGAACATCAGGCAAACAAAATTGTCCATTGGTAATGTCTGTTGATATCAATATACAATTGCAAGTTGATAATAATAAATGATTGTTCATATCAAATTACACTCTATAAGAATGATTTAACAGAAAAGAAAAATGATGTATACCATTGATAAACAGTTGTAGGTGTAGATTGGCCAAAAAGAAAAGAACAGTCGATATTAAAACCCAATAGCGGGAAAATAACACTTTCAAATTATTTTAATAAAAATTATCAACCACCTTTAAACAGACAGATGGACATATAGTAGACATTTGAAGAACTTACGAGAGAAATGAAAGATGACAAATTTTCATTCAAATAACTTGACAACTCTAATCATAGAAAGCCAAGGAAAGCCAGACTCGTATTCATTATTTCATCCAATAAAGCAACTAACAGCAAATATCTCATGAATCATCACCTGCTCTGCCCACCGAATTCACTGAAGATCTAAGCTCCTCATTGTCATACAAAGCAGAGGCAGGTGTTTGATAACTTGATTGCTGTGGAATTTCCCTGATAGAGCTGCTTGTGGACTTAGAAGCTGAAATACCTGTACCGCATAGATAAAGAATTAAGCATGTCATTACACAAGGGCAATACTTTTTTTTTAGATAAAACTGCCATAAAAAATGCAGTTAGAGCATACAGACCTCATATCTAACATAATGGTAAAGGGTGGAAATATTGCTAACCACTTTGATGAGTTTGTTGTTCCTTGTTCTGTGACAGAGCATTTTCCTCTTCAGCAAGGCGATATGCATAGTATTTGTAATCAGAGCAACTCTCATCAAAAAGGAATCTGAACAAATTAAAATATCCAATACACAAAACATGGAAATCCAATAGGAAAATAAGCGCACTCATGGACACAGAGCATATTTAACATAAAAATATTGATGTGAAACGAACATACTTGAAAGGTGTGTCTCCAGGGTTTTTTTGACGAGTGATATGTTCAAATTGCCTTCCATTTTTGGCAACAAAACTGGCTAGTTTGTCAGCAACTTTCTTCACAGTAAGATCGCTTGGGGAAGGTGGTGCTGCATATCACTTATAAAACTGATTAATACCAAAAGCATGAAGAAGAGAATGCAAATAACTCTTGCAGAAGGCGTGCCACATATTCCAAATCTTTCATTGAACATCTCTTTCCACCTATGTTGATTGGTAATTAAGATATAGCTGCATTCACGAGACGAGAAAAATTCAAGAATGTTTTGCCCTCTTCATCTACCACTTTAAGATCAGAAAAGATGGCCATATGACTTCATAATCACAGCAGCTTATGAAGGGGACTATTTAACCTAGACTCCCATTAATTGTATCTTTACAAGAAGAGAAAAGGAAGAACCTTTACCTAGACCTCTATTTAAGTCGATGAGAACGAGCAAAATAAACTAGTAATTCAAACATTCAAATGCCCAATCTAGTTGGAGATGTACATGCCTAAGCATGTAAAATCCTTGAGTACCATCCATCACAAACAGAAAACAATATAAAAAAGGAGTAATTACCAACATCCACTTGTTTTGAAGCATGTTCAGAGGCATCAGATCGATCCAATTTTTGCTTTTTAATTGATTTGTCATCTACCAACTTTACTGCATCCTGGTCCTCTTCATCCTCATCTGCACCCAACTTAACAGGAGGTGCAACAAGCTTCGATTTCTGTTTCAAGCTGAAGGCAAGTTTGCCTCCTGAAGGAGTTTGGGCAGTCTTGCGTTCCACGGCTACTTTATTAAAGGCAAAAGAAGACTTCGGAGCTGAAGGCCTTTTTACAACTTTGGGCGGTTTAGATTCCTCTAAAGCTGCAGCCTTGTTTTTTTCATCCTTCTGTTGTTGAAGCTGTTTAAACCTCTCCATGAAGGAACCATCATTAACAAAAAGGCTAGATGGCACTCCTTTCTCCATTGACAAAGAGAAGCCAAACAACACTTTAAACGCTATTGACAGGAAGAAGTCACTGCTAGACAAGTAAAGCTTCCAAGATATTTAGATGTTGCAGTTGGTCTTAAGGTATGATCATTATAACAACACATAGTTCTATTATAACACACAAAAGAAAGAAAGAAAAAACCAAAATAAACTCGGCAGTTAAACGTGAAAGAAAAACGATAATAAAATTCGCATAACCCAAACAAAATAAATACGACATCAAAACAGGACCGATAACAGCCATCTGCTGATCAATCGGATTCTCCCAACATAATTTAGGTTATTCTTCAAAAACATAATACCCAACCCTAAATTGATAAAATCAACCTAAACAGATAACAGATAACAAATAACAGAACAATAGAATCAGATCTATGAAGAACAGCCAGCATCAAATTCGATCGTAACGCAAACCGGACGGCTGACCGATTCGGAATAACAGAAACTTAAAAACTGGGGGAGAAAGGTAAAAAGAGGGGATAATACCGGCAGCGGAACGACCGTGAGAAACTAAGAAAAAGCCCAGAAGAGATGGACGACTTACCTGAAGAGGAGAATATATTGTGGTTTCGAGTTTCAATCTGAGCCTTCAAATCGGAAATGTAATAGAAAAGTTACTTTCGAGCCGTTTAGGTTTCGAGAAAAAATATACTATTTCATTCAGTATTTATATATACGTTCACAATACATCACGTCACCACAAATAATAATGTATATTAAATAAACAAAAAATAATTTAATTGTATCCCATACCTATCCCTTACGAATCCCTGCGAGTTTCGATTAATGTCCATCTAAAAATAAACGAATATTTTTGAAATCAAAACAACACCTAAAACTTATAAGATATATCAAATTGTGTTTTAAATTAGTCTCTATTTATAATATTCATCTAATACTCAATGTATATGTATAATCTTAACAATTTTCGATATCAACAAAACAATATATTAAATGATAAAATATCTAAACTTCAATTTTAGTTCCTTTGAGATGTAACAATGACAACGCGTAATCGAGATATTATTTAATTAGTCTTCAATTCCACAGCTCTGTACCTTTTAGTCTATACTGAACGTTGACAATTACTAATCAGCTGGCTTCAGTTGAGAAAAATGCCAAAGAAATAAAAGATTGCATTGAGGAAACGTATTGGGGTTCCAACAAACGAGTTTTGCTTCTCGGGCATAGCAAAGGTGGAGTAGATGCAGCGGCTGCTTTATCTATGTACTGGTCTGACCTGAAAGATAAGGTAGCTTCGGATATCTTGAGAAAGACAACTCGGTGATTATGTGAATGCACGGAAACTTTTGGAGATTCTGATTTGCAAAGTGACTAAGGTATGATCTTTTCTTTCCTCTCAAGCGTGTACAAATAATTGGTTGTATCATTATATGCAATTATGTCTGCTGCAACTTCTGAGTTTCTGTGGGAGAAACTTGACACTTGCTTTGGTATTTGAGTGATTTTTACCTCTTTATACGGAAGAAGGGCTTGCTTTATAGACGAGTCCACTTTCTAGGGTAGTAATCTTTTTAGTAATTGCTATGTTGTCCCGATGCTTCGTGTTTCTTGAATTACTCGTGACCGACGGCCATACCCTCTTTAAGGTTATGAAAATATGATCCTCCACTTATATGGAAAAACCTAGAAAATAATCAACATGCCTGCTGAAGCTGTTTTTTGAGTAACATATATAAATTGTTTCTCTTCACATTTCATTTTTCTAACAATATGCCATGAAGACTTGACAGGAAGAGGCAGGAATTTTTGAAGAAACACCGTTTACCTAAGGAGCTTCCTGTTGTTTCTTTCCATACCGAAGCCGCCATCACTCCTGCCGGTCTGGCCACATTATCTCGTATTGCTCATGCGGAGCTACCATTGATGGCTACCCTCTCTGATGACCAGCCAGCAAGGTTGCCTGTGGTCATGCCCCTCGGTGCTGCCATGGCCGCAATCGCCCAGTTGCTGCAGGTCAGATATGGTAAAAAGAGCGATGAGGTTGTGGCGCGCTGTGATGCAGAAGCCCGGGATCCATTGCGGTCCGGCCACAACGTATGGATGGTTTATTCATCATTGGATGACGACCCTTCCGAACCAGATGCAACGCAAGTGTGCGAGGCTCTTTTAACGCTGCTCGTAGAAGTTGGACAGAAAAAAAGACACCAACTCTCGGCGAAAGATGAATGAGGTAAAGGTGGCTTGTGTCATCGACACACTTGGTTGTAATAAACGTTAACTGAGAAGCTGAGGTTCTTTTAAATTCTATTTGGCCAACAGGTAGGGTGGACGTTCAATCGGATCGAATTGAGTTGAGTTAAAAAATTTAGAGTTATTCGAGTTGATGAGTTATATTTTATAACTCATATTTGATTTGAATTTTTTTTCGAATTGAGTCAAATTTATAAAATTCGAGTCAAGTTGAATCGAGTCGATTTGTTCAAATTTCTATTTAAAAAAATAATTGCAAATATTTATAATATTATATTTTATTTTATTTTATTTCAATTTAAATGATTCTTTATAATATTATTTATTATTTTATTTCACAGCTGGGTGAACCGAATTGCCTTTTGTCAGTTTTTAGAAATAAAAACCGAAATCGAATGGTATAAAAACTACGGTTTTCAAATCAAATTGAATCAATTTGGTTCGGGTCTACGGTTTTTTGCTATTCACTATTTTTCAAACTCAACCTCAAAAAAAGCAAATTTAAAACTTAAATCGAGTGTAAATAAATAAATTTAAATTTATAAAAAATTATTTTTCATACTTTATTTATTTAAATTTATCTTATAATACATTTAAAAACAAATGTGTTTGGATACTTATTTTCTTTTATTTTTTTAATTAAGTTCAAACGGTTTGCATATGGAAAAACCGAAACTGAACTGCAAAATGAAAAATTTGAACTAAACTGAATAGTCCTATTTAGATCGATTTTCTCAGTTTCATTGCTCAGCCCTACCTCTTGAACTCATTTAATTAAGGCACAACAACTGTTGTCCCTTAAGGATATATTTTTTTTATAAAATATATTCCTCGCTCTTGTAATAGGGTCACTCATATTTTAGCAATATGGTTATTCATAATGAATCTGCAATGTATTTCGATTCGGTTTGTCTCGAGTTTATTATTAATGATATATTGAACAATCTATATTCTCAGTGATGTATCTTTGGTGGGCACTCTTTTCTCCTTGTAGGACTTAAAATAGATTTTTAATAAGGTCTGTTTATTTTTTCAAAAAAAAAATATTTTTAATACTTAATGTAAAAATAAATATCCAAACTATATACAAAATTAATTTTTGGTGCTTAAAGAATTTTTCGTTAAAAGATACGTGAATAACGTTTTTTTGTTACACTTTTAAGTACTTACCGTTAAATGTTAAATGATTAAGAGTTTTTTTAAACAAATATTATATTGTACTTACCCTATATTAATTTTAAAAAGTGGATAATGTATGAAATTAGGTCGGGTTTAATGCAATTATTTGGGTTTTTTTTAAGTAAGGATATAAGAAATATAATAAAAAATATAACTACATGAGCTAACACATGTAGTTGGTTAGCTAAACTACTTATATTTATTTCCTTATATTTCTTTAGGCTAAGACTTCTAGACCTATTAAGAGCACTCTTTTTCATTCCTTAGAGTCTCCCTTGGATGGACATGAGTCGAGTTGGGTCGGTTTTTGGTCCACTCGACCTAACTCGAGATTAAGGAATCCTCCACCCGAGACCCGATTCGATTCGATTAAAACAAGATTTCACCTGACCTGATATATAACTTAAGAATCCGACCCGACCTGAAATAATAATCAAATATTATTTTTATTTAATAAAAATAATGGCTTAATTGAAAAAAATAATATATAGAGGATATTATTATAATTAATTCTAAATATATAAGATAAAATTATAAAAAAAAATTCGAGTCGGATTGAGTATTTTTCACCCGAACCGATCCGAACCTATTTTTTTAAAATAACCCGACCCGATCAGGTCATATCAAATCGGAAACCGTCGAATTCGGGTCTCATGCCCATCCCTACTCCATTTCCACTTCTCTCTAGGTACGATTAGATTTATTTATTTTTAAAAACGTATTATAAATCAATGTCACATTATTCAATTAAACTTAAAGAAGTTGATTGAATCAAGTTTAATTGGTATCATTGTCGATATAATATACAAGAGTACGTGAGATTGAACGTACTTAAGTATTCAATATCCTCCTATATATGAGTTGGGGGATGAGTAGTAGGGGTGTATTCGGTTCGGTTCGATTTGATTTTTTACCAAAAATTGAATCGAACTGAAATAAACGATTTTTTAAAATTTAAACCGAAATCGAATGGTTAAAAAATCGAAAAAAATCAAAATTGATTTTTTTCGGTTCAGATCGATTTTTTTAATGGTTTGAATTTTTTGGTTCGGTTCGATTTTTTTAATGAAAAAAACACTTGAAACTATAATTTTTTTTAAAAAAAATTACATATTCGGTTCAATAAGGAACAAATGAGTTCCATATGGAAAACCCGAACCGAACCGAATCAAAATAATTAAGACTTTAAATCGAACCGTATAATACCAAACCGAACCGAACCGTTTTATTCGGTTCGTATCGATTTTTCAATTTTCTCGATTTCGTTGCTCAGCCCTAATGAGTAGTGTAGGCAATGTACAAAAAAAGATAAAAAATTAAAGGGTAAAATACACAAGTGAACACTAAATTATATTAAATAATCTTTTTGGTAATGCTAGTGTAACAGTTTATTAAGTTTATTGATCATTTATAATAGTAATATAAAATTTAACAATCGTTCTATAACTATTTGAAAAATTAGGATAAATTATGTGTTTAGTATCTAAATTATTAGTTTTAGCCCGTTTTAGCACCCAATTTTGTTATTTTTTTTAAAATCATACCTAAAATTTAATTTTTATTTTATTTTAGTACACATCGTTAAAAATTTTAGTTGTTTGTTTCATTTTAATACATCCATTCAAAATTTAACGCTATATTTTGAAAAAATTAAAAGCTTATGTACTAAAACGGGTAAAAACTAATAGTTTAAGTACTAAACATGTTAACTTTTTTAACGATGGGTACTAAAATGAAATAAAAATTAAACATTATGTATGACTTTAAAAAAAATTAAAAGTTTAAATACTAAAACGAATAAAAATGATAGTTTAAATACTAAATGTATAATTTATCCAAAAATTTAATGGTCGTTTTATAATTTTTAAAATTTAACTAGCAAAGAGAATCGATAATATTTATCCAAATTGAATCGATAATATTTTATCCAAGAATTTATAAAATCAAAGAAGGAAAAGGATTTCATTTTTTATTTCCGATACTACCCTTTTAGCATTCACGTAATTTCAAACTCGTTTATTGAATACCCCTCCGGGTGCTTGCTTATTAGGAGTAATGTTTTCATCTTTTTTATTGCTGTATTTTGAGAGAGAGAAAAGGGCAGAAAGAAAGTGCAACGACAAATCTTAGTATTATTATTTTAATCAGAAACACAGTAATCTCGTTGTTTCCGATAATAGTTTTGATAAAAACTAATTGGTTTTAGAGCTTTCAAATTGAGGAATTTGGGTTTTCGAACGGATTGACTGGTCTAGGGTTTTGTTAAAAGACCATTTCTTCTTGTTTTGTTTAGCAGTGCCAATTATGATAGCCGGGGTGGGTGTTTTTGCCTGGAATTTGATGTGAAGAAAGGTTGAATTGGGTGGGTTTGTAGTGCTTGTGAGTTTTGAGGTTTCGTTCAATGGGAAGCACTGATGAGGCTGACCGAAAACGGCGTCACTTTAGCTCCATATCGCCCACTGCTGTTTCCTCAAAGAAGCAACCATTCTCGCCAATTTCTGAGGAGAAGAAGGTAAGGTCTTCATTGCTCCTTTTTTTTTGGCTTCTGATTTGAAGTATTTGTTGGAATATATTTATACTTGTGCTGTTTCTTGTATTTTCATAAATTTCAATTTGAAAAAATGAAAATAAAAATTACTTAATTCCTGACTTTGGTTCCTCTTATGTATCAAAATTGGAATTGCCATTTTTATTACATTTTTTCTACTTGCATATTCTTTTATGGAGTCAAATTGATGTATGTCGGTATAAGGGTTGGAACTTAATGATTGGCTTGATTCTGAGGGTTTTTATTATTTAATTTGTTATTGATTTAGCAGGTTTGTTTGCTGCTATTGCTACTTACCCCCATTCCCTTCTTCCTGCAGATCTCTTTTACCTCACTTTAGTTGTGTGCTTTACATTGTTTCGAAGTCCTTTGATATACTCTTGAATGTGGAAGATTATGTTTTCTGGTAGAAGATTTTGATTGGGGTATGGGTAGGTTGTTTTTTTCTGTGGAAACATTGAAGTTAGACCGTATAAATATAAAATATATAATGAAATATCTTCGTCTAGAACCCTAAACCTCAAGCTCCAATTTCTGCTTTAGCATTGTTAGTTACGGGACACATCATTCTTTGTTGGCAATAGTTATTGTCATATAAAGTTTTTTTACCCGTGCCGGTAGATGTTTGTGTTTTTGAATAGTGATGTCATTTTGCTTTTATACTTCTATTCTAGGCTGTTGAATGCTATATTACGATTTTTTTTTGGGAGAATTATTCATCTGTTTATGAGTAGGTTGCCAAGATGAAATTCTTTCTTTTTATAGTTGTTTTTTTGAACCTTCTCCTAATGTTTCCATCCATTCCTTTTTTTGGGATATGATGCAGCTTGATACTGCAGTTTTACAATTTCAGAATCAAAAGCTTGTACAAAAGCTAGAGGCTCAGAAGGTCGAGTATTCGTCTCTTGAGAACAAGTTCGTTCAAGTCAAGGAGAAACAAAAGCCATATGATTCTATATTGAAAGTGGTGAATAAATCTTGGGATGCTGTAAGTCCCTGTTGAACTGTTAGACAATTTTATGCATTTTCTGCCGATTAAGAAAAAACTAGAATCATATTTTATACCTTCCAGGTTTTGTTTAGTTTAGTTAACAGCTTGATGGGAAATTGACATTATTTCATCTCCAATAGCTGATTACTGACTTGGAATCAAGTTCCACTCACATAAGAAAGTCTAGTGGACAGGATGTTGGATGTATACCAGTTGCGAAAGGTGAGAACATTTTGCCATTTTTTTAATTTGTTTATTTAT